CCGCGTCCTGCGGGTACCGCTGTGCGGGGCCTGCCGTGCGGGAGCCTCAGCTTCATCAGCTGAAATAAATTAATATCAACCACTCTGGTTTTTTCTCTGCCCTCTCCTTTCAACTGTGTCGTGTCACGCACCTGTATGTGTGACTCGGTTTGTCCTGTTCCTGTTGTACCCGCTTGGGCTTTGTGGAAATGACCCCTGCATGGTCACATACTCGGATACTTAGTTCCTGTTTTTTGCGGAGAACCACGCGTTTCTGGTGTTTAAACTCAAAAGTGAATTAGGACTGGGAATGTGATCGTTTGGATTTGGGAACTCCCTCCGTTTACACCCACTGCATATAAAAAGCTCCTGCCTGCTTTATTTGGTACGTTCAAGACGTCTGTAAAGTACCCGCATTCTTTTTTTATGCTAACTTTGCCAATCCCACGTTTAAAGAAAAAAAAAATAAAGCGCCATGACAATTTCTTTGCTGTCAGATTGCTTTTTTAAGATTTGAGCCATTTGAAGTTTATTCGACAGTAAGAATATTTGAATACTTTGGCTGGCATGGTGATGTATATTTGTACATATTTTTAAAAAATGTATACTTCAGTGGCAAACTAGTTATACTGGGAACACCACTCGACATTGAATTGCTTGAAAGGATTTGAAACTTAGTTTAATATACATCTGAAATATTACTGGGCTTGTGTTGCTTTATTATGAACCTGATAGTTTGGAAAGCTTTTGTTTGTTGTGTTGTTGTTGGTGTTTTTTTTTCCCAATTTTAGGTCACAATGAATATCAGAAGGGGGAGCTTGGATAAAATTTCAAAGCCTGCATCTGTCTCAAGAGCTTACCCTAATTATAGATCTTTAAATACATGTATGCAGTTATTAGCACCAGAGCCACATTTGCCAAAGGTAATTCTTTACACTTCCAGTGGGTTGGAAATGCTGTGCTTAATTCATCTTAGTAGGATGCAAAAAAAAAAAAAAAAAAGAAGATTTTGGTTTTTTAGCTTTATACATAGTTCTGGTCTCTGCAGTTGTGCTAAGGGGTTATGTGAAAGTTCATGAATGTGGGCTGTGCCTTGTACATGCATGAAATGCTGTTCAGTTTCACTTTTCTGAATGTATGTTACATGAAAATAGGTTGCTTTTTCCACAAAGAGGTCTCTTCAGCAGTACAACCTGGAAAACCTGGTTGTCTTCTGAAGATTTTTGTTTTTTAGCTTTATACATAGTTCTGGTCTCTGCAGTTGTGCTAAGGGGTTATGTGAAAGTTCATGAATGTGGGCTGTGCCTTGTACATGCATGAAATGCTGTTCAGTTTCACTTTTCTGAATGTATGTTACATGAAAATAGGTTGCTTTTTCCACAAAGAGGTCTCTTCAGCAGTACAACCTGGAAAACCTGGTTGTCTTCTCTTTAGACTTAATTGGATTCGTAAGTAAATACTATTTTAAGGAAAAGCATTTGAAATTCTGGCAGTAATATGTAGAAAACTGGTATAGGCACTTGAGGCATGAGCCAGTATGTACATAATTTCACTTCCATCCCATTTGTGCTTTTAAATTTAAGTTGGAATACATGTTATTTTGCTTATAAAAAGAAAACATTTGAGCAGTTCTCACAAATTAATTTTTTGACGGCAAGGCTCACTCCGGGTATGTTTGAATCAAATTGAAAAACAAACAAACATAGTCTTCCAATAAATATGTCAGTTCCAGACAATCAGTGGTCTGTTGAAAGCAGGTGTTCATCCATCCTCCAAGTAAATGAATATTGGAGATTAACTTAATTTTGGGAATGAGTTGTGTGATATGGTCGTTGGGATGTAGGAACTGGGACTTGGTAATTAGAAATATAGATTGATTTACTTAGATTAGTCCAATTGCCCCCCTGTCTGTAGAAAGGGATTATACCGAGATGCTTCATAGAAGTGTTAAAAGTAATTTTTCACAGGTTCGCAGTTGAGCGTTAAGGTTACATCAGATAACTCTGAATCCATGTTCTGATCTAAACATCCTAGGCTATTGCATGAAAATTCCAGTCTCCTGAGGCTGATAAATTAGTGATAAGCTTTTCAGCCCTTCAAAGACTATAAAAAACTCTATAGTATGAGTGAGAAATTGGGGTCCTGCCTGCTGCAGAGCACCTGCAGTTATCAGGAAATGGATGAGGCAGTTGTACACACAGACTCTTAACTGGTTGACTGTACCCTCTGCTGCAGAAGAAATGGCATAAACTTTGAAATAATTTCTTAGCCTGGCAATCCCAAATCCACAGTCTGTGGAATGATGAGTTAGAGAATGCATTTGATGTCTAAGAAACAGAACTCTTATCCAGTCTGAAAATGGTTCTTTTATTGAAGAAGTACTCTGCAGTCTTGTATAGATTGTTGTTAGTTTTTGTGATAGTATGTCATTACTGTGATCATCTTTTTTCTTCCCCTTTGTGATTATCTTTTTCTGGCTTTATGGTAGTAATTGAATTGCATTTTGTAGGTTGATCCACCTGTCAGTTTGGCTGGTAGTCATCAAAGAGGCAGTCTGGAGCACTGCTGTCCACAAGAAAAGAGAGATGATGACAGAAAGAAATCTGATGTCAAAGAAGTAAGAACTGATCAGCAAACCACAGTGGAGAGTGCAGCCTTTCTTCAGACGTGTGAACTGAATCCCAGTGAATTTTCAGGTGTGGGATCAACTAACATGCTGGGATTGTGGCTAGATGAGCATCGTGTTTGTATAGATGGGTAAAATTCTACTGGTAGAGGAAAGAGAGAATGCAAATGGGTAAAATTCTGGAAGAGAAGGAGGTGTCAAAATTAATAACTTCCCTATTTAGGATCCATCTTTGAGAGAAATATGTTATCATTGCCATTATCGCTACAACGTATGTTTTGTGGTATCCATGCTATTACCTGCACCTTGGTGATGTCCTAAAAGACATGAAGAGAAACCATCTGTTTGTGTTTCATGGGACCACATTAGAAAGAGTTTTCAGCAGGGTGGTTTTATTCAAATTTTCACAGACATCATGATAATTTGTTAGAAATTGTGTGTCCTAATAATGGTCCACCAGTACAAGAAATTGGAAATTACGGTTTTAATAGTATTTAACAACTAAACAATGCTAATACTTCAGACATAAATATGCAATATCTCATTTTAATGAAACCACTTGGAGAGAAGTGGTTCAAATGATGTTCTTTTGACATTCTATAAATAGTAATTAACTGTCTAGAGCTTCTGATTGTTTAAAAATTGAGAAGCAAAGGCTGGTATGTGAAGCAGGAAGTTTGGATACCTTCTTCAAATTTAGATAAGATTTCATTACAGAATTAGGATCAAAATAAATCCTTTGATTCCTGCTCTGTGTTTAACATGAGTCCTGGTATAACAGTATATCTAATTTTTTAAATGGTAGTCCACTGCAGAGGCTCTGAGGTGATCCCTAACTGACAAAAATGTATTTTGTTCGTGTTAACATTTTAAACAGTTATCTTAAAGTTTCTTTTACATTTATTTTATTGTGAAGGGCTTTTTCCTATGTTTTTCAGGATGTATCTCTAATTCAGATTCTGGAGATGATAGTACTGAAACACAGACATCGAAATTCTGTGAACCTTCCCAAGGAAAACAACGTAATGCAAAAGCAGGTATTACTTTTCAGGTGTATAAAGTGAAGAGTGCAATAAAACATTTTATTTTTTTTCTTCCCTCATTAGTGCTTCTAGGAGGGTTTGGCCCCATACTGTTTGTATATGTATGTTAGATATTTAAAAAGAAATACTGCAAATTGAAAATGTATATGTGATATGGTATTCAAGAGGCATTGGATTAATTCTTTATTTAAGATTGTTTTATTAAAGGATATTCAGTTCCTTTAATGATATCATAGCATTTGAGCTTTACATAAATCTAATAGGGCAGAATCTGTGGCAATTCTATCTAGTGCAGCAGTGCTGGTCATCTGACAATATTTCCTCAGAACATGAGTGGGATAGAACTCAACTTCAAAGCTTCACTCAGTAGTTTTAGGTTAAAATCCATCTGCTGGATTCAGGCCAGTTGAAATCTTTTGTCCTCGGAGTTTCTCTGAAGCTCACCTAGATTTTAAAAGTTGTCCCCTTTTTGTATCACTCATCTGTTCTTATGGCATAAAGTAGACCAACACATCGCAGTAAATGCTTGGAATCAATGAATGTATAAAGTAGTTGACCTCAAAAGATTAGCAAATGGAAAAGGATTGCAGGACTACAAAACTTGGAAGTCTGGAATAGACACAGTGCTGCAAGTGTTTCTTTTACTCTTCCTATGGAAGCTAAGTTTGACCAGAAAAGAGAGTAAAGCACGAGAATGCTATACAAAGGGGAAAACTAAAAGTGATCAGATATTGTAATCTGCATGTTTAGGAAGAAGAGACAACACAGAAATCTATTTTAATTAAATAACGGTAGTTTCTCTAATGTTAACAGCATTTCTGTTTTTGAAAACAAGATTTTTTCTAGAACCAGTATCAGGGTCTAGTTTGACTGAGGTGTAAGGCAATACTGAAACTTCTGTAACATTCCAAGTAGAGATACCACAGTGTCTCTCTTAACCCCAGAATTATTAATTTTAATGAATGACATTTCAACTTGTATTCCACTAATCAGGCTGAAGTTATTATTTTTTTTAATTTGTGATTTTTTTTTTTTAATTGATTGACTTGCCCCAAATGGGGGGACTCTTCCTCCCCTGTACCCCCATATCCAGCTGCTACAGCTCAGATTTTGATTCAGTGTTCTATTACAAAGACTTCTATATTTTCCCTGTTAGTAAGAGGTTTAGAAATAAGCATGATACATATGCTTAAGAATATTTGTACTCGTGTCTGTGGTTGTTACCAACTTATTTTTACTGCTTTTTAATTTTTTTTTAATCGAAATGCTTCAAGCTAACATTAATTTAAAATGTATTCTACAGCAAACTCTTCCAATTTGGAATATTCTGGAGGAACAAATGTAGATTCTCAGATTCAAGAAGCTATAAAGAAAATGAATAAACTTGACACGATACTGGCAAAAAAACATTCTAAGGAGAGAACAATTAAAAAACAAGGAGAAGAAATGAGGGCAAAGCTCTGGGAAGAACTTCAGGTTAGAAGTGTTTTGCTTATTTTGTAAATAAGTACTGTCTTACAGAATTGCCATATTTCACAGACGCATAGTTTTACTAAATAACTCACAGTTGGCTGATTATAGTGAAGAAATGGATCTTTAAAAATAACTGAGTAGTTTGGGTTATATATTGGCTAGGCAGACTTTGAAAGAAGACCGTGGTCCTTAAAAATTAATATGACCAATAGCCAAATACAGAGCTGTCTAGGTGTGGCTTATTAGTGTAGTCATATGCTTGAGTTTGCTACTTGCAGGAATGATGAGATATGACCTTACCTGTTTGAGGTAATGTCTGTGAACCCAGACCTTCAAGTGTTTATTCTGCTCTAGTACGATTTCTTAGGCCCATCTATTTCAGTATTATTATTGAAGAAATTAGAGATGCCCCTTGAAGAAGGTATAAGAATGCTACGGCACAAATTCTTTTACATTATTCCTGTTCTGGTCCCTTAGCAGTTGAGTGTCACTTCAAGCCTTGAAACATGTGAGTTAGTATTTTCCCCGAGGTTAAGCATTGTGTAATTTACATGAATACAAATGTCAGTTGCTTAAAATGCATGATTGCAGTTGGTTTGACTGCATCTTGTAATTTCAATGCATTTGGATTCACAGCCATATGTACATTATGGAACTTTGTCTTGGTAATGTATTTGCATGTTAGAGACAACATGTAACGGAGGCTTTGAAATTCCACTGTGTCTTTATTGTAACTTCTTGAGACTTTCTGAACATCTTTTAAATAAAATACAACAGTAAGTAAATGTTGTCAAAGAACAAGGAATTTTTGATTGTGTCTGAAGTTCATTAGACGTGATTAGCAGACAACAAGTGTTTACTTTTAAAGTAAATTTATGCATGTATCTTTGTATGTAAGCTTTATTTCTTTTGAATAGTCTATCAGATCCACTGGAGGCCATGAGGAGATAGAAAACACAAAACATTTTTTAGCTTTGATCTCATCATGGCAGGATACATATGGTAAGTAAGAAAGAGAATTAAATACCTTGATATAATTATCCTGCATTTCTATTAATATTAATATTTTTGTTGGATATGATAAAAAAATAAACTTTCAAACCTTTACATTAAGATAATACTTCCATATAAAAGTAAATCAAGGGAAAAAAATAAAGGGGAATGCGATACATAACAAAATACAAACTATGTTAAGAATTACAGTGAATACCAGTAATATAAAACTGTATGGGGAACAGGGAAAGAAAAGTTAAGTATTTAGAAGTGTTTTCTTTACTGAGTCAAGACACAATTCTGTTGGAGTTACAAAGTGTTTGAAGCATGTTCTAAAGGATTGGTAGTTTTCTTCAAGAATGCATGGAGAATGTCCATGCTTGCAGGGACCTGGAAAAAGAAGATATTTGGTATTTTTAAATGTTCTTTTCCTGTGGCTCAGTTCCTACTGGGGGAGGCACTGGAACAAACTGTAGGCATTCTGGTCATGGTGTCTTTATTGGGAGGAGCAGGGGGAGCAAAAACTGAATTTGTCAAGAACATACCATGTCAAAACTGCTCAAGAGTGGTTTTAAAAAATGTGCTATTTGAATACTCTGTCTCAGTGCTGCAGTTCTCAGAGGTGCATCAATCCTATGCAGATCTTGTAACCTGACAGTCTGTATACCTTGGTTGAAAGGGTTTCTTGGCTGAAAGGAAGCAGAATTACGGTGAAACCTCTTTTTTTTTCTGGTTGGGGGGAGAACAATGATTTGAGGTCTGACTGGTTATTGCTTAGCAAAAATCTCAGCTTGAATTTGGAAAGATATACATAGTAATGGTGGCAATGTGTGGCTAAACATTTCAACAAAACTTGTTATTACAAGATAACCTGCTTTTATTTTTAAGTTTGGGCATTAAGGAAGGAACACAAAATTTGGTACGGGTGATATATAGAAAGCCTCCAGTAGATGTCAGTAAATAAACAGTAGACAAGCAAGACTAAATGGTTGTTCACGTTCCTCTTTTATTTCAAAGGTAACTCCTTGATGTAGAGATCATGTACATCATACGGGTTCTCGTGTTCTGGCAAAATTCTGCAGAGTTTAGCTTTATATTTATCTTCCAGCTTGATTTTTATCTTGAATTTTCTGTGACATGCTACTGCCTTACTTTCCAGGTCTTATTTATTTAAATGAGTAACCTGATAGATGCCCTGGTTGATATCTTTTGCTTTTCAGAGCTTGAATTTGAAATAAATTGTATAGGGGAGCTATTTAATTGGAGTGGCTTTGAGATCAAAATGCAAGGTCCAGGTACAAAATCATTAATAACTTGTGTCCCAGCCTCTCAGGCACAAAAAAAACCTCTGACACACTCATGGTAGAAATGCAATTCAGGAGTTAATGAAACAACCTTATTTTCATTCCCATGTGCTCTCTGTAACAAAATCGTAGTTCCAGTTGAGTCCATTAAACTTCATTATTACAGGATGTTGTTTGGTTTTTCCACTAAGAAAAACACACTTTTCCTGTGTGATATCTATGGTTCTTTGCAATACAAGTTGTTTTCTGTAAGTTTGAAGTGTATAGGCTGCAAGTTCATGCTCTAACTTATACTTTCAGTTCATGTATGTCAATACCATGACTGAATTTTTTCTTTGAGTAACTGAAGCAACTCTGTCATGCTAGGATATTGGAACACATTTTCTAGACTGTACCCTTGACCTAAGCCACTTGGAAGTCTAATAATTCAGGCACAGGCAAACACCAGCTATGAAAACCTGGGCACTTTATTCTCATTCAGATTTCTAGATGACTTGCCATATGGTGTCTGCAGGGGCTTTTGAACTTTAGGGCCTTGGGCTGTATCTTTTAGAATGTAATTATTTGTATGGGCAATACTTGTTAAAAACAAAACCACAGCCATATGAAGCAGCATAATTATTAATGAGACACACTTTACCCTTTCCTCCTTTATGTCTTGAGAAGTATGGTGGCTATGTAATCTTTCCACGTGAATTTATTCAAATTTCAATTGTGAGATTTTATAATATGGTACATATAAGATTAGATCTTTTTTGATGCATTTCAATTAAATTTTACCTTGCAGATTTCTCTCAGACTAAAGAAGATGAAACTTGTACTTCGATATTTCACACACAAATTAATCCAGAAGATTATGATTGCCATAAACCCCAACATACTCAGGGTAAGCTTTATTAATTGTATAGTTGGTATTTCTAGAAATGGCAAAACAACATACACACTGGCAGGTAATGAAGACTTGGCCCTTGAGGCTGGGCCAACAAAATCAGGAAAAGCAAGGTTGCTTAGTGGAACTGCAGCAGTTCTTAATATATTTTTTTCATGAATTATAAAAGAGAATGGTTTTGTTTGTGGCCTATCTCAAACATTTTGCTTAACATGCTAAGAAAATGTTTATTGTTGAGTTTGTACACCTCTTTTCTTTCATTGTAAAATAATGAGGTGTGTAACTGATTCATTGTAAAATGTAAAATTGGTTCTTCATGGAAATATTTAAAAATTTTCTTTGCTGTTTGTTATTCTAAGGTACTGTAGTTTTCACAAATAGGCTTATATTCAGGAAACCATCTAAAAAAGAAGTTGGTGCTGCACAGTTTCAACTGTTCTGTAATTTTTTTGCTTTCAGGAGAAATTGTATGGATGTTGTGACAAACAGATCTTCAGACAACTCATTTTATATTTTGTTAGGCTGATGATTTAAAAGGCTGCATTGCTTTTCTGGATTAAGTTATTTCTTGTAAAAATCAAACATCTGTCCTGATTCTTTTAGACGTGACTTGTTTATATGCACTGTATAGATGTTTGAAATGCTGTTAGCAGTGTAGTGTGTCCAACACTTCAAAATGAATTGAATTGTGCTTTTTTTGCCTCTATTCTTTCCCT